CATTCCCTTGACTGAAATTGCTATCACGGATAAGGTGAAGTCAATTTTTGAGGAACTTAAGTCGTCAATGTTTGGGTGCCGGGAACGCATGTCATCGACTTCCCATTGATTTACATTATAAAAAGAGTTTCAATTTACGCCGGTTTGTCCAGGAACGCATCCCCGGCGTAAATCGAGGTTTACCTGTAGTTGCATTTTCCCCTTCATAAGCATTTTCTATTTCCAGATTATGCCCCTCACTGACTGGTAAAAGTTTATCTCTTTGTGTATTAAGTATTGAAATGGCTTCATTTTGTGGATTCATGCAGTGTAAACCTTTATGACTATGATGATAATTTTAAAATAACATGAGTGTCAGTTTCAATCAGTGTAACACGTTCATGATACAATCTGGCTGTATTCAGAGACGTTTCATCATACTTTGTCACCATTACAGGAACATTTTAATATATTAAATATATTGACTCTGTAACAGCAAGCCAAACTGCAGTGTTCCTGAAAGTTGCTGATCAGCTATGTTCATTTAACCTGTGAGATATAATGTTCTTTGTTGTTATATCAAATAATTATATTTTTTCCTTTTCCTTGTTTATCTATAGGAGCTTCAGGAGAGCTTGGCTGATAGGCCAGCACCACAAAATGAGAAATTAGCCACAGCACGTGTGAGGCAGCAGAGCTTTGTTCTGGAGACCGAGTTCACACATGATGATGTAGTGGATGTCTGAACATCTCATTCATTCCATTAACATATTCATTCAGCTTTTACCACTGCCAGGTATACAGTGACTTCTATTGACACTTGCTTATCCGCTATGTAGGACAGCTGTAAGTTGGTTTTATTTCCTCATCCCTTGAACTTAGTAAGGTGGGGATTGTTGTGGTGGTTCATTGGATACCTGGAGTGGCAGCCATAAATATAGGGTGTTTATTAAGTTACTTTATCAGTGCCGGGAGATGTACCTCTGAAATTGTGTGGCTTACCACTCATTATATAGTCTGTTAACTGCTTCACAATCTTCCATTAGGCTAATATGCATTTTATCACCATTACCTTCTCATCTTGTCTTCTTTACTTTGTGGATCAGTGGCAGTGTATGGTTCAAGAAATATGGCTCCAAAATTTTCTTACCATTAAATGGTAAAGGTGCTTCATAACCACCCAGTATTTCAAAAGGCAACATTTTATTTCCTCCCACCTCAAATTTAAAACTTTATCATTCCAGTCATTAGGTGTGTTATTGAAACATTTTAAAAAAACTGCTAGACTAATTATTGTAAAATAAACATTGCTAAGCTAACCAGCTTTTAGAATATGAACAAGGAGCAAGACGAAAGCAAGTATTCCAATCTTGGTAATAGATAATACTGCCAGTTATAAGTTTTTATAATAAACCTAATCGTTTTTTTAAATGTTGATAAGCATCTCTAGGCTTATGTATTACAGTGATGCTTTGTGCAATTGATTTGTATTTTGTTTGTATAGTTTTATAGATTTATATTGATATCACTCGTACTCAGCTACATCTGAGGTGAGCTGTGTTTTATATGTATAAATAGTTTAATTGTAAGTAGCATGTTAATTACAAACTAAATTGTAAATTCTCTGATATGATTATATATACATAATATTCAAGCTCAGTGCACAGAATATGTATCTTTTTGTCACTTGTTTACAATTTCCATATTTACTCACATAATGTAGTAAACATTTTATACTTCGTTTTTATAAATATTGAAAATGCTCTATTATTTAAACCAGGGAAGGGGGGTAATTGTTCTGGGACAATAAAACTGTAATTTTGACAAAGAATCATATACACTTCATCTGCCACCTTTCTTAAATGTTACAGACAGAACAGGTAATATATTTTGTTTGCTAAATGTCCATTACCTGCCCATTATACTTTCAATAAATGGAGTTGTTTTATAAAAAAATTTGTCAGAATTTATATTAAAATAAAAGTCTGAAGTGATGCATCCTCAGACAGACTGGGGTTTCACTTAGCATGAAGTGTAAATAAAATGTTTCTGACAAATGATAGATAACTAAATAAAACATTTTATCTTAACACACATAATTTACTGTACAGTTGATTACTTTTGATAAATTTTATAAATGTGAATTTCAATAATTCATTAATGTACTTCATTTGTAAGAACACATTCCATTAGGAGCTAATTAGAAATTAACTAACCATAATTCCTGCACTTCTAAAACAGGAGGTACAGTTTTATTTTCATATATGCATGTATTTTCTGGTTTTAAATGGAGTTTAAAGTTAACATTTTAAATTTGATATAGAGACAAGTTCTTTCTTTAATCATGTGAGAATTGTGACATTTGTAGCCCATTTACGAGCAATGTTGAAAGGAAAATAATGCAAGTAGGAAATTTTCTTCCTTAGTCCATTTTATATCTTGCTTTTCACTGCCTTCTATTACATTTATTGCAAATTTGTATTTAGTGTTTGTATTCTTGTTTGATGTTAACTTAATTAGCTGTAACTAAACTTGACAAAAGAATTGATCTGCAATCTTTGAATGCTTCTCTCCCCATTTCTTATGTTTTGATACAAAATTATACCCCCCATGAACTTTTCTGTGTGGGACAGGGAATATGAACACCAACTATGCAACTCCACAGAACAGAGTCCTTGTGTAGCTGATAGTTGCTCAGCTAGTCAAGAAATTCCTTCATTTTATGTAACCATAACATTCATTACTGTTCACAACAGTGTGCCATTGATCCTATCTTGACCACTTGAATCCTCTGATATATTCCTGTATCTTCCCTTCAGGATTTATGACTAAAATACTGCTTGAATTTCTGTTATTTTTGTGTATACTACATGTCCTGCCCATCTCATCCCTCTTGTATGAACACTGCAAAGAAATATAGGAAGTTTAATACTGGTATAACTGGGCTAGGACTAGATGCATAAAATATTAGTTGAGGAATTGTTCTATATCAGTTGTATGTGATGGGAGTCAGTTGTATACTTTTATAAAAATCATTTCACGTGCTGAATTAAAAGCCAAGTTCAGAAGACCTGATACGGTAATGAACAAAGAATGGGAATGTTAGACCACTCGGTGAATAAGAATTCAGTTGTAGGTTCATAAACTTAAAATGTGGAGGAAGGAAATTGACTGCTCAAAAAATTGTCTGTTTCTATGGTGCTCAATTTATTCATTGTATTTACAATAAGCCTGCCATCAAACCTTCCTAACCTGTTTCTTTAACTTTCTTTTTACTATTATTATCACAATATTTGTCTATGCACTGCTGCCAACAGTACTAAAAAAGCCCCTCGTTTCTGTCCCTATTTTGCATTTTTCCCAAATTTCTCTCCCAGTGGTTTATCTGCAATAAATTTCCCTTTTTTATCATTAACTATGGGGCACCTTATATAAGGAACAAGATTGAAAATGTATACTCTTTGGAGTACACTTACATTCCAAAGCCATTCTTCACACTACAGTATGTTCGTCATTGTACAAATGTAATCTGAGGTAACTTTTGTGCATCACTTCAACAGTGACCTCAGTTCCCTTTGTTGCACAGCAGTGGCCATTGATGCAGGTTGCCTGCCGCCTAGGAAACTGTGATACATTAGGACAGGCCAATAAGGTGTTCTTCACTTACACTAGAGTATGAAGAACACCTGATAACCAAAAATGTTTGAGGGAGTTTAAGAATAAACCCTTGGAATGCAGGTTAACAAATAACAGAATATGATGGTATGGACATGTTTTAAGAATGAAGGGGTTAAATCAAGGTTTTGAATGTAAAAGTGGATGGAAGATATCATGAGGGAGACCAAAATCAAGAGGGGAATAACAGCAGGTTAGGAAAGATGTTACACAAACCATGGGAAGTAATTGAGGAGGCTGTATTCTTAGCATCTCAGGTATCTTTCTTTAAAATATCCTAGCCAGAGTATTGTATTATTTTCCCAACATGTGCTTTATTTCCCACCCTTCTCATCTTGATTTAATCACCCTGACAATATTAGTTAAGAAGTACAAATTTTGAACCTCCTCGCTAAGTATTTTTTCCATCCTTATACTTCTCTGTCTTGGGTCCAAATCAAGTTAAAGTATTTTACATCCAGCACTTGATATAATGAAAAATAAACCTTGAAAATGAGACACATGACTACATATTATGTGAGTAAATATGATGGAGTAACTGAATGGTTATACTGCCTATTACATTGCTGGTTTTGTGGCATCATGTTCTGTTTATTCTGCTGAAAAAGCAGACTAGCTCATTTAATTAGTATCATCATTGACACCTTGATACTGACCAGATTCTAGGATGCAAGAGGAGTGTTATTTACAGATATTTAAAATGTTTATGGATGAAAATTGTTCATGATTATTAACATGGGGGGGATTCAGTAATTCTTATATAGGCCTAACTATCCATATAAATGCTGCGCTACACATTCTGGATCGTGCGTCTTTGAACTATGTGTTTGTTGTGTTGATGGTGGCCCAGTCAAGTACAGTGAGTGATTCTCAACCTTTACTTCTGATACCTGAAATTGGCCACCCTGCAATTCTTGGGCTTCATGTTTTTGGCACTTTTCAAAATTAGAGTAATGTGAGTGCCTGTGGGCCACAGTCTGACGTATGGAATCAGTGATAGAATATAGTGGATACAGCTCCATGTGGCCAGTGTTATGTTACCGTTAAAAATACGCTTAAATGAAAAAAGAGAAACAAGGCACTTCAAAGTATGAGAAGTATTCATCACAGAATGTTGATACACACCACAGCATTATGCACACCTGGTTTGGTACTAAAGCCCTCTGTGAGTGGCAAAACATTGGCAGCATTTCTTGTTACTGATTTAAGTATTTTGTGTCAACTTATCTTGTTCACTTCCAGTTTTTGTTTTAGTTTCACTTAGGTTCATTGTTATAGGTAGTGTAATAAAAAGTAGGTCATCTGCTCCATAATGAGGTGGTCATGTTAGCAGCTTTAGACACTATACACAGGTGACTGGTCCATTTGGGCCCTGCAATTAAAAATGTGTTTGTGTTGAATGAACAAAATACACAGAGGTTGAAAACTGGATGTACAAATCCACCCATACATTTTAAACATATTACATATTTACTTAACATTTTTTTCATTGTGCAGTGATAAATGTGGTAAACCTGGAAAGCAGTTCCCACCAAGGAAACAGATTTTATACAAAATCAGTTGAGGGTGTCATGGATCCATTTTATAATTTGTTATTATGTCACACCAAAAATTTTTTACTTTTAAATGTAGTTGTTTTTCACTTTCACTTTGTACACTCTTGGTACATGTGTGTGCTACCAAGGGTGTTGAATATTTTTAAGGGATGAGATTCATCATCGAGTGTCAATAGTTCAGATTCTGTAGTCATTAATGATTTATTTAACAAGACTGTATCAATTGCAAAAGTTGTAACAAATGATCATATGATTTTGAATGATGGATAAGATGTTATGGCCTATTGTAAGGTACTGATCCAGCATGTATATACCTGGAGGGATTGAGGAATCACAAAAACCTCAAGATAGCCAACTTCCCACCTGAGATTTCAGTATCTTGTTATGTCTTTCAAGCAGTCATCCACTCACAGTACAAGTTAAGCAGAAGGATCATATTATGAAGGAGAATAATTATAATAAGGGATACTGAAAGTAATGTAGGAACATTGATGAAAAGTTTCAAATTACAAAAAACTTATTAAAATTATTTGTTTATATGACTGTCATCTGGGATGTGCAATTTAGACTGGTAGAAGTTTACCGACATGCCAGATGTGCTTTCTGCCTCCATCATCAGGGTGATAGCTGCACAGTAAAATTGTTTGTTTCAAGATGCGTATATCACATAGTTACAGATCTATAAATGTATGCCCCTGCTTAGGTCCAGAAACTATTAACATGTCAGTAACTGTAGTATCAGTAGAGTTTACTTATTTTTAAGTATTTCTCGTACTCAACAGTGCATGGAACTGTGAGTATGTACATCTTGTATTCATCCCTTCTGTGTTTCTTGTAAAGTTTTGGTAACAATTACTCAGTTCATATATTTCAGGTATAAATATTGTATTTATTCCTGTTGATTTTGTTTCATTCTGTTAGTAGTAGTTTACCCTTTGTTATCCATGTTTATAATTTCAATAACATAATTGGACAACAGCAAACAAGTGCAGACTTACAGGTGACATTGGAAAGGCACAGTTCACGTTAAAAGGAAAAATAAACCTTAAATTTACCACAGTCCAGAACTATGTGATTTATGTTCTTGGCAGTTTTTTAAGATGTATCTTTCCCTCTCCCCACAAGATCCCAGTTTGAATGATTTGTTGTGAAAATAGATTTTCCCCCAGAAAATACTACTATATTTGTTCCTAGAAATGTAAAAAATTCAATTTGACATGATAAATTTAATATTTATCTTTTAATGTTAAACATATAGTTTCAGTTTTCACTCTTGCCACCAGTCAGAGAGATTTGTTGAGTAGGTTAATTTCACAACATGTGTAGAGTGTGTATTTTCAGTGAAATAGAATTCATTTTAAGTGTTATGCCTCAAGTGGGAACATTAAGGTATTGAGCATGAGAACACAGAACAGTAGAAGAAAGCAGAGATTATAACATTCCTTACTTTGTTGGAAGTAAGAGCACTTGAACAGTTAATGAATTGATAAGCGGGTCTTGACATATGGCTGCCCATACAACTTGCACTTGTACCAACAGGTCTGTGTTCCCAAAATCAAGTTGCATGCTTATTGCACTAGGCTTCATCAGGCATCAAAGATCTTTGGTCACAGTGCATATTTCATCAATATTCATTGATTGTGTTTTAGGAAATTTGTAAAGTATAGAACAACATGTAGAATTAATTATACATCATTAATACTTTAAGTAAATTTGTGTCTGCATTTAGAGACAGTCTGAAGACTTGCGCAGATATGATGAAAATTTAATGACTCAAAGCTCTTAAAAATGTTGCTATACTGTGATCATCGCCATTTCTCTTGATCTTTTTTCTTATATATCGTTTCATTTTGTAATGTTTTACTTCTGTTTTACTTTCATAAAGTGATTGCCAGTTTTTTATTATTATTTATTTAAGGTGCAATACATGCCAAAAGACAGTATTGAAATATACACTTTGTACATTATAACCTGAGTATCATTTCTGTGTAAAAAGGATCAAAAGTATTTTGTGGAATTAGCATTACCAAATAAGTGCCCTGTGTCATCCAGGCTATGCTAGTTTATTTTATAGTCAACAGTGTTAAGCTATCCAGAGTTTCATAATTTAAGTCTTTTAATATGCAAACTAAAACCAAAATCTTGCTCAAGATTTGTGTGTATTTGTTTCACTGCTCATTGCATTTTGTCCCATGGTTTCTTTTACAAGAGAGAGAACCAAACTTCTGAATGTTTGGAATTGTCCTACATCTTTAGTGGGATATAGAAGTTACCTATAATGTATATGGTGCAAACAGATTAATTAGATGTGATATTGCTTTTATTTTTTGGATAGATATCAGTTATTTGTATTTCATATAATAGAAATTTCTTGTTATTGTTATTTGCTTCATAAGAAAACTAGTATTTTGAATTTTACTTTTCCTGGTTGCAATGATGGTGACATGAATGATGTATGTATGTATGTATGCCATGTAAAAGTCAGTGTATTGTCTTTTATTGATCATTCAGTACTTCCCTGTAATGTTTCTCTTTTATATAAAATAATGTTATCGCATAGGGACTCTTCAGTAACCTCCAATTTGATTTATTGATTTATGACCCTAGATAACTTTTTCTGTATTTGACATCTCAAGTTAAAAAAATTAGTTTTTTGATGATTCAACACATAATTTAGAGTACCTTTTTGTCTTAATGAGAAAATGATCAAGTTTCAGAATTTTAAATAAAGTGACATTTTAAATAATATATACACAAGTTTGGAACTTTTATTCAAGAGCAAAATCCTTTGTGTTCTGTGAAACAAACATGTTAATTATAACAATTACTGTGGTTCCTTCCATGTAAAGTTGATATGCTCCTGATCAAGAAATTCCCTGCTGCTGTGAAATCAAAAAGATGGATCACCATGCCTGTTGGATACTATCTCGAGCCACTTCAATCCAGCCTGTATCATAACACCTTATTTTTCCCAACATCCGTTTTAACATCATCCCTTCCATTGTGCTTATATCTATGCGGCTCCTCTTTTAAGGTTTTTGACCAAAACTTTCTATGGAATCTGGTATTTCTCCATGTGTGCTACATGGCCTGGCCTCATTCTACTTTATTTAATCCTATGAAGGATATGTGGAATGTAAATAAATTCTATTCTATTCTAACAATTTGTGGTACTCCACATATTACTATGTATCTTCTCCAGTCTAATGTTCATGTCTTAAAGGTTCCTTCACATTTTTGATACTGAACATTGCTAGTGCGACTGTACTCGTGTTTGTATTCGTTATTTGTCCGGTTTTAATGTAGGGCTGGAGACCGGCAACCCTTAATTTTCGTGGCTCCAGTCAAATATTGGGACAGGACCTTATATTAGACAACGACCGCTTTCTTCCATATCCATACCTGGTCATTTATCTTTCTGTCATTTAACGCTATACAATTTTCAAGCAAATCTAGGTAGTCCGTCGAGAGTGCTGATCTCTGTATTATCTAAGGTTCTGATTGAACTAGACAGCGGAAATTCCGACGTTCCAAATCACTGGTTTGCTGATGTTTTGAGTTATATT